CTCTCCATTGTAAACAATCAGTATCAGCTTGCATGAGTCATTCTGAGAACCGTATGCCCATGCTATGGATTAAAGATAATAAAGTTGTAAATCATGTTCAGTTTCTTGAACAGACCGATTGTTTCTCTTCATAAGACCTCAATGTATCATCAGGAGCCATTGGTATTAATTTGGTCTTGCTGGAGTTTTATTTTATTTATTTATTTTTTGACTCTCAAAGGCAGGCAGCCACAGACATGCAGTGTATAAGTCACCAAAAACAATGGTTTCACCTAACAATCTTTATTACTGTTTTATTGAAGAAAAAAGTAATCTTAGATAAGTGAGGATGAGTAAATTAACAGCAACTATCCATTTAATTGCATGCTATTATTTATTTATGTATTTGTTTGTTTGTTTGCTGGTGAAGGTCTGCACACATGTCCTTACTCTCCACTGTAAACAATCAGCAATTGACCTTAAGAATGCTTTTAAAAAATTTTTTTGATCCACTTAAGTTAAAACTTAAGCACATCTCATTTAAAATTACTTTTATTGTCTTCATAATATGGTTAATGTGTACTGCCAAATGTACTGGAAATTGCATGTATGGTAAACTAAAACTAATGTTAATGTCATTTGTATTCAAATTTGTATGTCATGCGTTTAAAAATGTTTGTAATTACACATTTATAATGACGAAGGTGCGATTTTAATATTAACTTCAAATGTAATACAATTATAATCTAGTGTTTTACATGTGCTTTAGTATGTCAGTTGAACACTTCAAAGTAAGTGTACTTCTTTAAAGCATCCCAAAAGATTATTAAAACATAAACTTTAAAGTAAAGCTCTTAATTCAACATTACTACAAAGTGCACTTTTTTTAAAAGTCTACTTAAGGTTGAACTTACATGCAATACAATTAAGTGCACTTGTTTTTTCAGAAGGGATAATCTGATTCAGTCTGCTCTGGCATCTGATATTGAGCATCATCACTAATGATTGTCATCATCATCATCATCTTCAGGACATCATCAGCACTAAAGATACTGTTTTGATAGATCTAGATTTTCTTAATCAAATCAACAAATCAATATAATTCTCTTTAAACATATCTTGACAAGCTGTCCCCTGAGAAAGACTCAAGATTCCTCCTTTGAGCCTTTGAGCACACATCCCTCAGCACACCATAGTCTGACTAGAGAAGCACTAAGCGTCATCCCCACTGGACTTTTCCTGGGATTCACATTCTTGCCTCTCGCCCGCTCACGGCACAGCTCATTTCACTCACTCAGTCTCGCAGGCCTGAATGATTGATGGTTTGGGGAAAGGCTTGGCACACCTCCACGGTCCATCCCAGGCTGTAAAGCAGCAAGCATCACCATGTTAGACCCTGACAGCTGCACAGCTTAATGGGGAAGGATATAGACTGGGAAGCATGAGGCTGCTGGTGCAAGCCCCTATGGGTCCCAGCTGCTATAATAAATGAATGAATGGATGCAGCCTATTTTCTTGAATGGCTGATGACAAAATAAGCACGCCTTGAGGGAAATTGAGTTGTTTGTCCACATGTGCTCCCAGTATATTCAGAAATCAATATTCATGTTGTCATCTTTCAGAATTTCACTTGCATGATTAAAAGAGGAACCACATGTTGACGAGACAGTAATAATTGTGAGACATTTTTGCCACTTTTTAAATTATTAATTCACTAAGATGAAATAAACTACTGTAATAACACTCATAACATTAGATAGTTTAGGCAAATAGAACTAAATGGACACAGGGGATAAAAAAACAATATCAACACGTATATCAAACAAAAATTCACAACGCATTTGAATTCTGTGATCTGATCTCTCTCCCTCTCTCTCTATATATATATATATATATGTATATATATTATTTTGTATTATTATAAATGGTAAAACTGATCTAATATGATTCTGCTTGTTGCACCACATGACTAAACAAAAGTTTTTTTTAATAATTTTTATAATAACAATTATAATATTTTAATTATTAAAATATTAACATCAATCATTAATAATTAGTGTTTTACTGTTAAAATAGTATTTATTTTTTTCTAAGAAATCTTACTATAAAATTGTGTTAATCTAAAAGAGAAAGAGCCTTAAAATCTTATAAATTTCTACTCCTACTTAAAATTTGTTTCTATTTGTATTTGATGATATATATTTTTTTCTTTTTATATAGATATAATTATCATGCTAACCAGAAGAGGTGTAAACATTATATAAATCACATTTTGTAATGCATTGTCGTCTTAGAAATTGTTTAATCAAATAATAAAACAAATAAAATAATAGTAATAATAACACTTCAAGAAACGTTTTAATTAATGTTGTGGTGCATCCATCAAGTAAAAAAAAAGAAGGAAAAAAAGTATGGTCTTATACAGTACACTAATATTTAACAAATAAATAAATAGACGCAACAAAAAGAAAGATACTACGTGACCAGTAATCTTTCTAACCTTTCAACTAAATTTGCTATTTACTGTCTTAATACTCAGTGCATTCAAACAAGTTAATTAGAGAAGCATCTTATATAAGCGATCGTAAAATGAATCGATGCAGGGACACTTTCTCTGAAGTCATCTGGCTCACAGTGAGAGATGATGGGAAACTGAACACCTTCACTTTGCACTCACAGTATGGCACTGCAGTGGTCGTTCACTAGGCTATTTCGCAAGAAAAAAGGGAGAGGATCACTCAAAGAATATAAATGGACCTCATCAAACCTCTGCAGAACTCGGTTCAGCCTGCTAGACACATTTTTATGATAGTGGTGTAATCAAAATCAGGTTTGCCGGAGGGAGCAAAAAGCAGATGACTCAGACAGCAACAAACAGGGAGTGAGTTAACGTTTTATGATTGGATGATCTACACCTTCGCGTTGTCTTGAGTCTGAGGTGATGGCAGCGCTCATTGTAGCTCTGCTGGGATAAGGTGACAGCGCTTTTGAATGCAAATATTTTGTTGCTGAATGTTTGCACCATGAGCGGTGTATATGCAACATAACCAAAAATATCTGTTTTCATTTATAAATCAAGCATCACTCTTACTATTGCATGCTCATATTTTGAACAAACAACTGCATGACATTTAGCCACACACTGTAACTCAGGAGAGATGTGCTGTTATTTTCTAGGTGACCAAATATCCAACAGGCTTACCTTTCGAATTATTATTATTATTATTTACAGATTAATATCTCACATTTGCTTCTTTTCTTTTTTTGCAACCACTCACATTTTCTCCAGAAAAGATAAAAACTGTTTTGGTCTTATATTGTCTTACGTTAGTTCCAGATCATTTAGTAAAGCTGATATGCCAAAAACAAAGTAAAAAGGGTCACATTTAGAGCTCTTTTGATTACAGCAATTACTTCATTTCATTAAAGGAAAATTTCAAGCCTTATCAAGCACATCTCTCTTGCACACAGACACACACACACACAAATACACACACACACACACAAACACAGAATCCTCAGCTTTGCAAATCAGTACGTCAAGTGAGCGCGTTTACGGGTGGCAGGTAATTCGAGCTCTAGTGGCAGGTGCTTCAGGAAGGCAAGCTACGCTGTAAAGCATGTCAATCTGCTAATGTCTATTATGGCAAGCGGGGGTGGATTAGAGCTAGAGAGAACAGGGCATTTAGCAGCAAGAACAGAGGAACACGGCGTGCCTCAGGATGAGAACAGCCTGTCTAACGGAGTGACCCCCGGAGGGATTTGTTTGGGCAGACGCAAAAAACTGGGCTACTGAACTACACAGCCCTGAAACAATTAGAGATCTGTCTGCCTCTGAATTTGCATGACAAGCAGCGTTCTGTTCCCTGCGGTCAGACATGGGCAATTTCCCCGCCAGTTATTGAATCAGGAAGCAAGGAGCAGAAAAAAGAGCACATTAAAAAAAAGGAGCAAGAGGAAAAATTCAAGTTGCTGCCATTGATCTAAAAAGCATGAATGCTCTATAGTAAATGTTGTAGTTCAAATGAGGAAGTGGCACGAGGCAGTTGCTCTCCTTACATAGGTTGAGTGTTAGAAAAAAATACATTCAGTACACTCATACAAAGATTTGAAGTGAGGCAAATGCATTGCTTCTTGGCATCAAACACATATTACATTTGTTCTACTTTTGATTAAAAAGATTACAACACTATTTACAAAAAACAAAAACAAAATAATGTATAATGTAACTATTTTTGTACTTTGCCAATAAGTCGAAAATCACAGACACATTTGCATTGCAATATTCTGCCCTGAAATCATTCGCAGTATTTTATATTCAAAGTTTATGACTTTATGAGGTTTTACAGAAATGAAACAGACTGCAGTCTCATTTTGAGTTCTGCCCTCTAAAAATAAAAAAGAAACAATAAACCATTTTCTCTTTTTATTGTAGTTATCTTGTTAAAGCAGAAGATAAAAAAAAACAAAAAAAAAAAACAATCACATAACCTGTCACTCTTTGAAAATTATTACTTAGTCAAGGACTAGTTATACACTATGCAACATTATCGGTTAAAATTTTGGGTGGTTTATAATATATATATATATATATATATTACGGGTTTATATAAACCATATGTAAACCATTATAATACCATAATTATATTTCCCAATATTATATTTATATATATATATTACGGGTTTTCTCCTTTTTTGATCAAATAAATGCAGCCTTGGTGAGCATATATGAGACTTCTTTCAAAAACATTTTAAAAAATGGCAGCAGAAAGTACTAAAGTAAAAACTGCAGAAAAGTTTTTGTTTAAAAAAAGCATATACAACAAAAGAAATCTTGAATCAAAAAGTAAGCATATTTTTGGTGATTGATTTTGGACTTTGAAATACAAATCCAAACTTTCACAGCCATATTAAATCACATCAAAAACTTTTGTTCCTACTAGCATGAAAAAAATAGATTAAAAAATTGTAGTAATAAGCAAACCAGAAACTGAAACATTTACAGATTGTGAAACACTCACGTATGGTGCAGTTGGTGGTGAAGTGGGGGTCATAGGTTGCTGTCTCCATGTCGCCGGGCTGGTTGTAGCTGGAAGAAATCCTGAAGGGTTTGCTCCGGGCCCCCAAGCTGAGGTGTACCACCGCCCAGCTGAAAAGGAGAGAGAGAACCAGCAGGATGAGCACCAGAACCAAGCACCAGGGCCGATGCAGTGCCCTCAGTGGGCTGTAGGAGGTCAGGGTGGCCCCTGGGAGACCGTCCCCAGTTTGGGTCAGTTCAGCAGTCTCTGGAGATCTGATGGAGGGAGACGTCTGGCCGTCTGACACCAAACCATCCCCCTCTGCCATTTTAGGGTTATCCTCTGCCGCCATATCGCACATCCCCTACACTTCCAGATATCCACTCAGCTTGTGGAAGCTCTGTCGGTTGAAACGAGAGAGCAGGTACTTGTTTATGTGTGTACGGATGCTGTCTTCACCGGATGGTAGCTGTGGAAGAATGCACGGATGTGCGGTTGCTCTGTGGGTTTGAGCGTTTTTAACCAAACTACCTCTCATAAGGAAGTCAATGACCTAGCTAATTTTATTAAGCAAATTGCTTAGATTTCAATTTGCTAGTGGCTAGTGACCAATGACTTCAGTCTCCTCCTTCTCTCTCCTCCCTCTCCTGTGGTTTTCTTTCTCCCAGACCTGTAACCTGCCTGTTGTGTTGTTGTTTCGCATCTCACAACGGGATTTGCATCGACGTCTGATTCGCTTCAACAACAGAAGTCTAGATCCATGACTAAGTGGGTGGTGATCCTCTAAACAAACATGCAGACAGCTAGCAATCATAGGGAAAAGAAGACAGACAGCTCTCTGACAGAAATAAAGCACTCGGATACACTTGAGTAAAGATTATTGTTCCACATTTCAGTTTGCAACGATTTGGTGTTTGTATGACTGATTTGACAAATCATTAATGCCAATGTGAATTGCTATTTGAAACCTATTTTGCTTCCGCAATGTGACATTTTAATGTGAAACAGGATATTTAACAAGAAAAAATTACTGAACGTGGCTTGTGCTATAAATAACACTTAAAAGAATAGTCGCCCAACAGTGTTATACATTTAATGTAGAGTGGCAAGAAAAAGTATGTGAACCCATCTGATCTTTATCAAAGTCACTGATTCTGATTCATGTAAAAATATGTTACTGATTTAAGTAAAACATTTTTTATTTGTTTACTGTCCAACACTGATGCAGATTTATTTATTTATTTATTTTGAAGAAGAAGAAGAAATAGAAGAAAAAGAAAAAGAAGAAGAAGAAGAAGAAGAAAAATAAGAACAAGAACAATGATCAAATTCAAAGCGCTTAACAAATGACTGAATGGAGGAGTTTTACAGGAGTAGACCATATCTGTAGAGTATAGTCAGGCCTAGAGGGGAAACAATGTTATATTTTCCCTATATTAATGGTGTAATATCATTTTCTTAACACTAACATTTTAAATGATTAGAAATAAATAAATGATGAACAAGGACCTGTGATTAATCGCTTTAATTGCTGGTTTGTTTAAATAAAAAAAAAATATTTAATATATTTAAATAAATATATTTATTTATATATTCCCAGGGTTGTCCGCATCCAATAAAATCAAACCTACGCCTATGTGTAAATGTGAAAAAAGTGAGAGGAGAATTGAACTTGTCATCAAAAGCTCTGGTTTTCATCATTGCTAATGTTGTTTTGTAGATCTAGAATAATGCATATTAATGTGCACAAATGCATAATATCTTATCATTAGGGTTGCATTTGGAAAATGATTTCAGTGCTTTCAGCAGTCAACCTTAACTTACTTACAAAAACTGAAAAACACACGTTTGCACAAACACAGCTGACTTACTGTAACAAACTTTGTTCTGTTAGATATGTGCTTTTTATCTAATAAACTAGTCTTGAACTGCAAGGAATAATGAGTTGCACACATCATTTGCATAATTTCAAATTCAGCACTATTTTAGGCTAAATTACCTCCTCTGCGTGGGCAGAAAGCATACAGTCATATCTACATATTAATTCCATTGGACAGTGTTGTCATTAGATGTATGGTAATAAAGGCATACATGCTCATGGCATTTTGAATATAATTTTGGTGCCTTCATTGTCGCTTTACAGCAGCCCTTCACTGATTTACTACAGTATAGTATGTATCCTGGTGCACTATTATAGTCAATGTTGCATAGAAAATAAAATTTTCTAGCTGAGTAAATTCTGAAGTAGAGTAGAGTAAAACACACTAAATGCATGTTAGACTGAAACATGATATAACTTTCTTTGAGATGCAAGTTCACAGTCAAATATTAATAATACTCAGCAAAAACACATTACAAGGGCTTCTATTGTATAACAAGACAACAAAAGACAATGTTCTTTACTACCACAAATTTACTTTAAAAAGTGTTTGTGCATGCTTTTCAGCTAATATTTCTCAGAATTTCTCATTTCTAATATTAACAGAAGAAGAGCATGTTGCAGTTCACTTTATTATGTATTTATTTATTTATTTATGTATGTATTATTATTTTTTTAAGCTGCCAAAGCACATTAGAAATGTTTAAACCTACGTTAAGCGATAATAAACTGCAAGAAAATTGCAAGGGGTGCACTGTGGTATCAGTATTTCCTATCAACAACATTAAGCATAGTATAATTATAAGAACACATACAGAAGGAGATAATGAGAAAATGCTGTCAAACACGGAAACTGCATGTCCTTTTGTTGAGACACTAAAGTGTATTCAATGTTGAATGAATGGACTGTATTATTTTAAAGGTGTTTTTCTTTACCCACAAATTTTCTTCATATGTACAAGGAATTTATATGATCAAAACGCACACAAATTTACTTTAAAAAGTGTTTGTTTCAGCTATTCAGCTAATATTTCTCAGAATTTCTCATTTCTAATATTAACAGAAGAAGAGCATGTTGCAGTTCACTTTATTATGTATTTATTTATTTATTTATTTATTTATTTATTTATGTATTTATTATTATTTTTTTAAGCTGCCAAAGCACATTAGAAATGTTTAAACCTACGTTAAGCGATAATAAACTGCAAGAAAATTGCAAGGGGTGCACTGTGGTATCAGTATTTCCTATCAACAACATTAAGCGTAGTATAATTATAAGAACACATACAGAAGGAGATAATGAGAAAATGCTGTCAAACACGGAAACTGCATGTCCTTTTGTTGAGACACTAAAGTGTATTCAATGTTGAATGAATGGACTGTATTATTTTAAAGGTGTTTTTCTTTACCCACAAATTTTCTTCATATGTACAAGGAATTTATATGATCAAAACGCAATCAAATCAATTATAAAGCAACCCCTCTTGCTGACAAACTGTGAAAGCAAATTGAAAGATCTATTTGATTTGATAACAGGCTTATAAGCTGTTATAACTGAAGTGAAAGCAAGGGAAAGAAAGGCATTTATTATTGCCATTTTCATAGCATTTTCAAATATCAAAAACAAATACTGCATACAGTTTTTCAGTTCAAATATTGCAGCAGAATAATTTTCAAAAATAATTTTTGCTTTTCTCTTCTTTAGTTTCTCATCACTCCCAGCAGGCACTGGATGTCTATGTAACGTCAGGTTGATGTTGGACATGACGTCAGGCAGACGTTGCATTTTGGTTGAAAATGAAAATAGGGTTGATGCCAAAATTTGACGTCAATTTGACGTTGCCTTAACATTGGATTTTGGTTACACAACCTAAAAACAACAAAATATCAATGTCAGCTGACATCGGTATTGGACATCAATTTAACAATGACATTAGACGTTGAATTTACATTGAATTTTGGTCACACAACGTCGCAACCGAAATTTAACCAAATATCAACGTCTAATGACGTTGTGTGCCTGCTGGGCTGTTACATTTAGCTTGTTCAATGAGGTTTGTAATATTGAAATATACTCTGTAAATCGGTATTGGAAAAATATTTATCACTGGAAAAAAAGAGAGTAACCTAAAAATGGTTCCCTTTCATGGGAACTTCGAACTGCGTCCTCTAGGGGTCGCTATGGGGAACACCTCGTCGTGACCCGTGTCTGAAGCATACATTGAAACAACACCAACTCGTTGGCCGGCGACAGCCATGACGTCACTACCGGTGCGACTATAGTATAAATAGGCGCCGGGAGCACACATCATTCTCTTCTTCGTCTTCATTGACTGTTTTGTTTGAAGCGTGCATTTCTGTGGTAAGAGCGATCTCTATTCATCTCATTATGGCGAGCACTAGCTAAGCATTTAAGGATGTGTGCATCCGTGTTGACGTTATTTAACATCTGATGACACACACGATCTATGCGTTATTTGTTTGGGTGAAGAGCACGCACGCGATGCCTCCCAGGGGGCAATCGGCGTGCACTGCGAGCGTTTTTTCCAAGGAAAAAAGCTCCGCTCTCGTTTGTCTCTCTTTTCGAGGAAAGAGGTGCAGCCGTCTGCTTCCCGCGATTCGGGACCCGCCGCTGCTGAGGCACGGAAGGGAATGAGCTTGTGGGGATCGCCGGTGGATCTGGCCGATGAGTTTGAAGAGAGGTTTCCCTTTCGCGATCGTCGGCTGTGCACGAGAGTGAGCCGCTGGAGGATGATGTTATTTCATTAACATTGTCTGATTCAGGGGCCAGTGCTCTGCTGGGATCAGCCCAGCAAAAGCAGGACATGTCTAAGGAGGGCAAAGTAGCTGAGGCTGAGCCTTCCCAGTCCTCCTGCGTATGATGAGCTTTTGGAAATTATGGATCGCGCCACGGCGAGGTTTTACTGAAGCGGGTGAAGCAAGTGATGTCGCGAAATATCTCGATGAACGTTATTTTTCTGGTCATAACCCTCCAGCTCAGGTGAGCCTTCCTTTCTTCCTGTTTTCCATATAAAGATTGAGAAGGAATGGAAGAGGCCGTTTTTTCCTCACGCATCCATCGATTCCAGCATACAAGTTATGCCAACATCGAGGCGATGCGC